CCTACTGCGTTACGTTCTCAAAATCAATTACGAGATGGGTAAAGTCCAACCTCTAGTACCCCAGGGTAACTGATCGATTAGAGCAGCGATAAAACAATCTCTGCGATGTAGGAAGATCATTTCATGCTACTTTTGTCGTTTTGGAAACCACTAACATATTATTTTTTCTATAATAAACAATTTTTGAAGTACAGACAAATTAGGGTTTGTATACTTGTAGACATTATTGGACCTTATTGCATTATTGAGTGTTTTCGACTATCGACCATCCGTCATCGGGTACTTTAATTGACTGTTTACAAATCAGTAGCCTTAGTGGAGGCCTGCTCGAGAACATTGACTATGTAATGTTTCATTTCATCACGCAAATATGCATTCTAGGTTATAGAACGTTTTCATGCTTTCGACAAATCGCCAGCTGACTATTACTACTGCAGGCATTGATAAGGATCATGAAAATGTTRAAATTTTATCTTAATTGAGGACAATGTATGAAATAGAAGATCGTTTGTCCTATAGATGATGATATCTTATTTATAATTTCGTAATATCGCCATCATTATCACCTATAAGATATTCGCTGTCAATAATGCAARGTAAGACTGCCTTACCTCTTCAAGCATCAAACCATYCATCTTCACAATGAAACTCAAGGCACTCTTATTAGGGTCTAAAATAAACAGAATAGTAATTATATTCAAAAATATTTCAAAGGGAATGAAGCATTGATTATCTTTTGTACTTATGTACTATGTTGCACCATGTCGGRMTGGTGTGTTCCTTTTGAGGGAAGTCAAACCATTTCAAATATATTGGTATAAAAACATTGACCCTGTGCTATACATGCATGTAATAATGCCACAAAAAGACGACCTGCACCGAGATAAAGTTACCTTTGGATAGAGAAGCCTTTTGTCTGTAGCAGATTGTACAGCTTGGCTCATGCGGGATCGCGGAAAATGCGGCTGGGAATCGCGAGAAAAATACTCATCGAAATAAATTCCAATTTTACTATTCTACGTTACTTTTGACTATTCTSTTTAAAGTCTACKAATAGTGTTTGTCATAAAATTRTGTTTCTTCGCAATAGACCTAATCGGCTATCTAACGGTGTTGCTATGTTGCCACTGTGGGAAAAAGAACTTTTGTTTCTAAAAGAATTCAACTGTGAAATGAAAATACAACGAACAATGAAACTTACTCCCGGGTCGTTTGAAGTGGGTTGAAGCCGATTAGTTCTATTGCACGGAGCTCATGCCATTGCATAAAAGCATGGATCAGCATCGAGGCCGCGCTACGATTCTAATCAGTATAGAGAATAGCACCCGAKTAAAGGTTATTATACACATGCTACGCGCAAAATTTTTAAATATATGTTCACTATGTAGTTCCACAACGAGAAAATAGAATTGTTATTGTTGCGCAGCAAATCATAGCTCATATCAAACTGCGGTTTTTCTCTTTTAACTTCGCAACAGATTATATATTTTTGTTGATGCTAATGTTTACATCAGGATACAAGRCGCATTGCGATTACGTGAATGGTCAAATATTTATCTGTTATCACACCCAAATACATCTAAATATCTTAAGTATATCAAATAACATCACTTGAATGAGTTACGACTGCACTTACTAYAACTAGTCTTCGATACTATATAATTATAAATGTCTGGAGAAAATCTACCCCACAGTCCCCTCAGATAGARGAGATCCTTAAAAATCGAACAAGGACAAAAGGCTGAAAATCATAAACATTTAAAGATTTAAKAATTCATAAAGTTCAGCTAAGATATACCTTGTAAGATATGCAGGCAGGATGACTTGAAAATAAGGAAAAGCTGAAACCAAGGATAAAATGTTAAGCTTTYAGCAGAGTAGGTAGGAAGTCGTGGTATTCGACTCGAGGTGAGAACCACAYGTCACCAGAGATGAGCTCTAACTAAGGATAATATGTATCATCATGATTGTGTTAAAGGTTGCGTCATTCCGCGAAAATTAAATGACCAACTCAAAACGGATAATTTTTCTTTCGTRCYGAATTGAATCTTGTTTTATTGGAATTGRAGCTTAAGATGGAGTTGAAGAACTAGAATTTCAAATTCTGTGTATAGATACCCTCTTCGAGAATATTTTGGGTCGGATGATGGGAAACATTGAAGGCATTAMAGGCATTAATAAAAAAAGCCCGGAATCTAATTAGGCACGAAATGTCATCTGATACGTATCAAAGCGCGCGGTATTATAATCTGAGGCGAACAGAAACAGTGTTATTTGAGAATCATTGTATGGAGATTGCGAAAATTAAAACATGGGACACAKGCGGACGATCTACTCATAGCTGCTAGCTGAGCTATAGTCTAAAACAGGACATCTGTGCATAATGATATATGGCAGTTACATATTGCGAAAATCTTTTTACTGCTGATTTTAGTAGGAAGTATAATCATGGGTACCCCACATAGTCCACAGTAATGATGCTTATCACCACAGGGAACCCACACGCACACAAAAAAAAACAACAACACATGATCGATTTGGTATGAGCGTGAAAGCCATCAGAGAAACACAAGCACGCTCATTTGAGTTTCTTTACCAAAGAAAAACCAGTCATGGTATTGAGCTTTGTTGATGTTAGAAGGTAAACAATAAACCTAGTTAGTGGACCATGATAATTGATGCTGTAAATATGACGATGATGATGATGAATGCATTTGATGATTCATACAAATTTATGCATTGGATGATATTAGACATCTCACTATTTTTCTTTGCAGGGCCCAGCTGGTCCCCTTGCACCTAAAGGTTTGTCCAAAAAYTTGTAATGTTTCTAAACCTAAGAATTTTATAGCTACAAACTTTATATCCAGTGGGTATGGATCTCATACTTGACATATTGGAAAATCTCAGAGGGAGTATTAACCATCCCTAGTAATCCTATGTTGAGCCATTTTACTAATCATTGATAACAAACAGAATTTATGTGCACAAATAACATGTTTTCATTTAAGGTGGGAAATCGAGGTCAACTAAACCTTATGGAGGGAAGCGTTCCCAGCAARACACCCAACATGGGGACAAAAATGATCGGGTAAAGCAGATCTGTTTTTATTGACAAATGAAAATGAAAARTCTATGTTGAATTGATTCTTTGTCGAGGTACGGGTGCAAACATGCTTAATTCCAGCTTATTAAGGCAAAAGTATCAATTCTTGTCCTTATGTCTCAAACTGTCCAACAATTTCTATCAATCAGCCGTCGGGTCTTGTTCTTCTTGATTGGGCGTCATTTTCACGGATTCTTCAACTGATTTTAGTCCGTTTTCTGGGTAGTAAGGTAGACATGGTACATACTTGGCGAATTTAAACGAACTGAGACGATTTAAACCAAATGGCRGGTCGTAGATACGGAACGATGCGTACTTTATTTCTGTGTCAGCATCATCTGCTTTAGTGTCTGTATAGAAACAAACAGTACTTAGGGGGCTATGATAGTGGGGGAGTTGCCATACAATTCATTCTGAAAATCCACACAAGACACACAAGTGCAATACCGAAAACCGACTCAATAAAATCAACAGAAATCGGCAAATCACCAACCTAAAAAAGACCCGGGGGAGTACTCTCCCCCATTTTTTGCCCATTTGTCTGGGATAGGGTAGTTTTTTTTCTGGGATAGGGTAGTTTTTTGTCCCGGTTTTTTGTCTAGGATAGAGTATAGTCTTATTGTCTGGGGTAGGGTGGAGTTTTGCCTGTGATCGTATATGCTAGGCCACGGTTTCAGCGCTCAAATAATGTACCTTTGTACCTATAGTCTGGGGTAGAGTATGTAAAATCACAAGGGTTTTATGGGTCGTGCGTCACACCCCCACCCATGCAGTTGGGATCGAGTAAAGTCATTCCCGACAAGACTCCACATGGGCCTAGAGCCGATTATCATTATGATAATTATTATCATACTTCCTTTTTTTCTTTGATACGCGGCGCCTGTTTGTAAAAACGTTGATCCAAATGAAAATCAAAAGAAAGCAATAGTTTTTGTACCTGTTAGCTTACGCCAGATGTTCAARCCACGTTCCTCGGGTGTTCCTGGAATAATGTTGTCCAGAGTGAAGGCCAGGAAACCACCAACAGCCATTCCCGTCTTACACAGCACCATGATTATCTGGTCAATTTCACGAACACCTGACAAAGAGACATCGGATCAGCATACTTGTAGTATAATGACATATTCATCATTGATAAGGATTCCCTTGCATAAACAATGGGACCTGAACGCGCCAGAAAGACTATAAACATATCAGTCTCACAATTTGTGGGTCTTTAGAGCCCAACCTCACATTTCCTTCTCTAACCAAGCTTATCTATCCCAGACATCACCGATAAAGGAATCCCAAGCATAAGAGCTGCCTTGTCTGATAAAGAAATCCCGAAAATACATGTACCTGTGTCAATAACATCTTTGTGAGTATTCATGTAGCTCGGCAATGCCAATCCCATGAACAAAGACACGCCAATAACAAAAATATTTCTTGATGAGTTYAGATCCACGAACTGAAGGTTTGAAATACCAACGGCTGTGATAATACCAAATAAGGCGATGAAGACTCCACCCACTATTGGGTCAGGGATGGTTGTAAACAATGCTCCTACTTTACCCAGTACTCCAGCGACAATCATTACCAGTCCACYGAATTGCAAGACGCGAAGACTTCCAACCTAAAGAAAAATACAATCGTAAATGAAACTATCGGATTCCCTCGAGGATGGCATAAACTAGTCACATTGTTCTATGCATTTATGGTTTACCTTAGTAATGTTAATAGCGGCAACATTCTGACTATAAGATGTTGTTCCATTACCAGAACCCCAAATACCAGTGATAAAGCAACCAATACCCTCCACACCAATACCCCGGTTAATGGCATGTTTTGGAGGGGGAGGCGCACCCGATAGCCTTGCACATGCRTAATAATCACCAACAGATTCAATGATAGATGYTAGAACACCAGCAACCATGCCGAACACACCAGCAGCACTAACGGTAGGAAGACCCCATTGACCTAAGTAGAAGRTAAAACACTTTATGTGATGCATAATAAAGGGACGGGAAAGCGCGCCTAGATCCTCATATACATCACTCGGTCGTCATGAATATAAACATGGAGAACAAGCAATGAAATGAGCTTGACTTCACTTTGACTTCACGTTGCCATACAGTCACGTCATACATGTACCTGGATACGGAAATCTAAACCATTTGGCTTCTTTTAACACTATAGTCCTTGCATCCGTACGAGCCAGGTAACCAGGTTTTGCAGGATTATCCGGGAAACCTCCAGCAGCCGTGACAATTCCGCATACAATCCAAGCAATAACGATTGCTATTATAACCTGGAATTAAAGGAAATCATAGACCAAGATGATTCCACCGTACCGCCGGCCAGACGGCCACAGAGACTTGAATGAAGATTGATAGACTATCGATTTGATGAAGGGAAAGAGAGATAGATGGACAGACAAGGAATCCTTACCGGAAATAGTCTAAAGAAAGGAAAGCGGGCGATGTACCATCCTTTACTTTTATTCCAACTAGGAAAAGGTGTTTTGATGTTTTGAAGGAACATKGAAAACAGTGCAATCAAAGCAATCGTCCTRCGGGAAAGCATTAGTACATCAATAATTGGCACAACTTACATGTACATTTTTATGAAGTAAAACGAAAATACTCGACAGGACCAGGTCTGTCTTGTTAATGGTGTTAGGGGAGAGAGACCTGGGAACAAGCTTTCTAAGGGTGCGAGAGGAGACTGGACAGAACTGTATTTATTTGATCGTTTTCACCCATTCCCATGAGATTCAAAAGATAAAAGAACGGCGGCAATGTTGGAGGAATGAACAATAGATACTAATGAGAAATCCTTTGTGAAAGCTCCTCCAAGATGCCCGCTGTGACGTAACCTGAAAACAAAGAATTGTGCCCATATGGTGTGTCAATTATTAAGTGCGTTGTACTTACAACAAAGAAATCCCCCAATGTTTTCCTGAAAAACAATATCGAGTTTTTATTTAAATAAATTACAAAATATTATACGTTACGATTGCTTGAATACATTTATTTCAAAAAACGTTGTCGGAGAGAACGGCGAGTRAAAGTTGTCAAATGAAAGTTGCACGACCGAACCRAGTAATGTGGGTGATGATTATTAATATGGAATGTCTTTACATGATGCCGGTGCCATCGCTGGCGAGTCATTTGGTATGCGTACATGTTCAGTGTCAGAGGATGCCTTGTTATCATTTGCCGTAACCACGGTGGTAGTAGATTCTGTATATTGTCGACATTAGTCAGTGCTAGTTGAAGCAGCAGATTCTTCTCTTAACCAGCTTTAAGTCAAGTAAAAAAGGAAAAGTACTAAAAGTGGGCATTTCATCCTCGTCTTTATGGTTTCCATTTTTTTGAACATAAGTCATAATATCAACAATGTTTGTTAAAAAACACTTTATTATTATGCAAAGTTTCACACAAATTTTCAAGTGCAATGTACAACCTTGACAACAGGTCAGAATGAATGAATTAAATATTTTGTTTTGCAGAACACAAATAAAAAGTGTTAAACGTACCCTTTCTTCTCAAGCTTCTCCAACGACAAATCTTCMGCTAAATGAACTTCGTTTGTCTGAAGTGACAATTCCCGTTAAAATATACTAAGTCAAAGCTGGTATCTTGTGTATTAGTGTTTCCTCTTGGTAATGATTTTCCACTAAATTTAATTTAAATATATACAAACCAAAGTTCCTTTCGGTCKTACAACTTTCATTCGCCGTTCTCTCCGACAACCTTTTTTGAAATAAGCGTATACCAGTGAAGAAAACAGTCTATGTAATTAGCTTTATATAGAAATGAAATAAATTATAGTGCTAGATAGACGAGTAAGGTTATGGTGCTAGGAAGGAGGTTATTCCGGGAAAAAGATCATTGGATTTRAATTCGGAAAAATTAATTTCTAGTAAATTAATTTCTAGTAATTAGCTTTGACTTATCAAGATAAACAAACTTTTACAACCATAAATTTCTCTCTTTAAAAAATAAAGAGATATTTTATATATAGTGGCAGTGCCAGACAATATGTCGATGTCATTAGAATATATTTCCGTGAGATCTTACCTGCATAGTCTGGCGCTACCTGGAAGAGCGTCAAGCCAATGAGAGTAATTGTGGGAGCCACGGTAATAGGTCCAATGAAACGAAGCAAGAATCCAATCAAACCAGAAAAACCGATGAACATTTGGATAAAAGAAGATGCTAAAATAGAACCTTGAATCTGAACGCGAAAAAATCAGATAAGAATAAATAAAAATCATGAAAAATGATGATGTGACGAGATGCTCAGTCAGTAGAAGTGGAACAGGAAGAGTGAATTGGTGACAGRTCTCTACTGTAAACGCTAGCTGTAAATTGTATTTACGTTCTAAATTACCTCTCTCATTCTTATTTTCCAGATCTCRCCATCATCATGTGACGTTGAGCTGACATTATTGGTGGAGTTAGTAATTCCTACACGAAGGAAAATAGCGAAAACTTTATCATTGAGAGAGAAACGCACGAATATTTGAAATAAGCACACGGCAAGCAAAACGCTATAAAAAAAAACAGAGACCGCCTACCTGAAACCGGACATTGGAACTTTGGAAGAGAAAGAATCGCAAAAGTGGGAGCAAGGAACGTAAACGTTCCACCTTGCAATATAGGCAATCTGAACATGATACAAATGTAAAATATAAGACGAGAGTGCCGAAACGTTCATAAATACAAAGATACAAGGTGGTGTTTTGTCAAATATTAATCCACTGACTAATCATCGCATTCTTTTAAG